ATTGCGTCTCTTTTTCAGCTATTTACCTATATAATATATTCATAAGACAATTTCGAGTTTTAATAGTGGTTTTCATTTGGGTAGGTATTATTGATAAAATAATTTATGTTAGGTAAAAAAACTTAAAAATATAATATTATATTCCTCATAAGTTGATGTAAGTGGAAATTAAAAAAAAAGCTGAACATAATGTTTACATAATTCATTAAAATCACGAAAATCGGCTAATTATTTCGAATTATAAATTCATAAAAAGTTTATATTTATATCTAAGATTTGAAAATGTAATACAAGATTCCCCTTACGTTTTCCTACATTTAAAATGAAAAAAAAGTAGCTCTGCTGTAGGTACAGTAGGTTAGAAGTGGGACGCTGTATAATGGATCGTATTAAATTTGAATTCAATGATACCTATAATATAATTGTATAAAAAAAACGATTCTGAGCGGAGACGCTATGTCAGTCTAGGTATAAGACACATTACATACAAATCTATGGTACCTATTAAAAAAAAAATTGACCCATAGTCATTTACCTTTAATAAATTTCAAATTAATCATATCACAATATCCATTAGGTACTTATAACGCTTTATAGGTACATCAATAATAAACAGTGATACTTTAGAAATTTCAATTAACCACGAATAATATTATACAATCACAACAAAATCACTAATATAGTTATTTTAGGTTTTTTTATTATGTAATTTCGTTCAAATTTGAACTTAAAATTAATATAAAAATAAACTGTGCTAATGTAGTATTTTAGATTTTTTGGTAACAGAATTAACTAATAATAAAAAAAAATTGTTTTAAATTTTCAATCCTTAGATATAAAAGTTGAACATTTTATAAATTTATAACTACAAATTACTATTCAATATTTGATACATTTTGTTAAATTTCGATCTTTAAATGCTTTTAAAAAATATTGTGGTTATGTATTTTTAAGATTTTTCAACTGCTATTGTGACATTATAATATATCAATTACTTCCCTGAAGTTGGTTGCTAAAATTAGTGCTCCAAGAGTAGGGTACATTATTTTTATTTTATTCAAAATTCAGTCATGAGTGCGTTAAGCAATATACAGCTGCAACGCCAGTATGACCAATGGTATACCTTTTATGTAAAAATTAAATAGCAGTGAAAATCAAGGAATATTATGCTATATTTTTGTTAATCCTCCTTGTGTGCTTTATTTAAACTTGCTAAATAACTTGCCAAATAAACTCATGTACAATATACAATTATTAGATACCTAAACTTAGACGTTAACGTCAATATTGCATTTTTATAATATGTTATATAATACTTATATGTAAAATCCTCTTTTTCCGTTACCTATTGACTCTCTATTAATGTTATGTACTCTTGGAGTACCTATGTTCAACTACATTATTTACTAATTTCACTATTAATCCATCTACTTAATATATACATATTATAATATGCACAGTTCATATATTATAACTATAGTGTTTAACACACAATGCAAACTATATACTATGCATAAAAAAACATATTACCAGTGGCGCAACTAGAACTTATGGTGCCCTAGTAACAAAAATTACTTGGTGCCCTACAATATATTATTTTCTTTATATATTTATATTTTATAGTATAGATAAAAAATATATATATACATATAAATTATACAAATTATAACATGGGTAGGTAGGTTCTTTAATTCATAAAAAAAAATTAATACATGTGCATGTTATCAAAAGGTGGGTAAGTGGATGTCGCTCTGCTATACTGTAGGTTACAAGTGGGTCACTGTATAATGGATGGTATTAAATTTGAATGCAATGATATAATATCATTGTATAAGAAAAACGATTCTGAGCGGAGACGGTATGTCAGTCTAGGTATAAGACATATTATATACTTTTCTATGGAATTATATTAAAAATTAATAAAATTAAATGGAATTTATGAATAAATTCCTTAAAATATGCACAGTCTTATCATGAGCATAATTCTTATTCCTTATACTATGGTAGATTGTATGTATAGGCCATAATATTTTGATTTTTCAGTTTCATATATCCCCGACTAATATTTTTAAATTACAACAAAAACAAAGATCGTTAATATTGATTTTAATATGTAATTTCGTCCAAATTTGAATTTAAAATGTCTGTAAAAAATAACTGTGTTCATATATTTTTTAGATTTTTTGGTTACAGTATAAACTATTTATGAGAACTTTTTTTTTAAATTTGCAATCTTCAGCTATAAAAACTGAACATTTTATAATTTATTAATTACAATGATTGATAATTTTCGAGATTTATAACTAATTGAATGTTCCACGGAAAGAAAAATCTATTTTCGTAATTTTTACAAGAAATACCTTCATTCATCTTTATTACCACAATAATATCTTTATTCAAATCTTGATAATTTATGTTATAATAAAATAAATACCAAATCACAGTCATCAGATGGTGCCCCCTAAAATGTCAGCTGCCCTGGTGCCCTGGTGTAAGTACCACCCAACACCCCCGCTTGTTGCGCCACTGCATATTACCTATAAGAACATATTTTATTATTGAATAGTATTTTACCTTTTTGGAATGTCAGCATTGACTTTTCCCATAGGCCTCATATTTACAGGCACGGCACTAGAATTTTTTTCCAGGGGGGGCAGAGTGGGGCAAATATTTTTTTTACATGGGCTAAAATTGTTTCAACAAATGCTGAGGTTATTTAAATGAAATATAAATATTTTCGGATCATATAACATAATATAGCTATTAGCTATATAGTACATACGTTTAATATTGTATGCTCTAAACGTCTAAACATATAATATTTACAAACTTTTGAATAGTTAAAAATGTTTTAAGAATAATATCAAATATTTTTTTTGTACCTTATGTAATATGTAAGAAAATGTTTAATCACAGACCTAAGACCTTCAACAACTATATTCATAATGATAACATTATATACAAAAATAATAATTTCTTTATGAGCTAAATATTGATTTTTTATACAATATATGTTTATGCACCATACAGTAAATGATTGAAAATCTTATAATATTGAAAAAGTTAACAAAAATGTATACAATTGCACTGATATCAGTAGCAATACAATTTGTTTAAAATAAAAACTTTTGATTACTTACCTTATATTTAACTAGTACATTTTAAATTTTTAATTCAATACATTTTTAAATTGGTATTTGCATAGTAGTGTATGTATTGACTATTGAAGTACCTACTTTATATTTTTTGTTAAATTTTGGAGGTTAAAATAGTTCATATAGGTATACATTAAAACATAGATAGGTACTTTAAGAAATCCTTTTTTATTAATTATCAAGTAATATGTGAAGTAATTACCATGAGAAATAAGATTATAAAAATAACAAAATAAGAAAATTGAATAAATTATTTAATTATTTTAAATAAGAAATTTGTCATGCTAATTACTAAACTAATATAAGTAGGTAGGTACGAATACCAACTCCTTACACAATAGTATTGTGTTAATCAAACATAAACATTAAACATATTTAAAATAATAAGTCAACTAAAAATATTTTTAACTGTATACAACAAACATTAATTATATCGTACATATTTTTCAGTGGGGGGGCTGGCGAGGGGGCTGATCTGTTTTCTGGGGGGGCTAGAGCTTCCCTTGGAGCCGTGCCTGCATATTTAATGCAAATTCGTGTTTAATCAAAAACTATTTGTTTTGATTAATCTAGACCACAGCTTGAAGTATTTTTATGAAACTTCTGATAAACGTTCAATTGTTATAGCTAAGGATTGAAAATGTAAAACAACGATTCTTATAAATAATTCATACTGTACGGACAATGTGAAAATTTCAAAAATATATAAACGTTATTTTTTACAGTTTTTTAAGTTCAAATTTGGATGAAATTATATATTGTTAAATTAATTTATATAAATATAATATAAATTATTATTGTTTAGTGATCGATGTTGAATTGATATCACTTATTTTTAAAATGGCTTAGAATTTTTCTTATATATTTTTAAACTTACTTTTATATTGATCATTATTTTAAATTTGTATTATATTGTAATTATAATATATTTTGTAAACTGTAAGAAAGTATCATAAGTATCAAATTCACATATAATGTATTAATATTGTATAAGAAAGTTAGTTATGTACATTTTTTAAATAAATATTAAGGTGGCTGAAGCATACCGTGTTTTAAGGAGTAGCGTTTAGGCATTTAATATTACATGTACATTTTGCTGTGTCCATGTGTGAGAAGAAGTAAATGAACATAATTTATTCATTTACAGATCCAAAAACTCTAAATACAATAACAATAAGTAAATACAGTAAATAGTAAATCCCACCGAAAACATATATGTAAAATGAGAGCCAAGTTCAATACTATAATATATGCTTTGGTTGTTGACTTCAATGACAAAAGAAGTGAGATCTAAATGGGTGCCAAGTTAGGATAATATATTGAAGCCTAAGGTCTGACTTGGCTAGTTTTCATATACAAATTATTATTAAGTACCTACTAAAATTAGAGGCACTTAATTAATTAATAGAAAAATTAAATATAATAGATCAAATAATTGAAAAATTATAGTAAAATGAATTGATTAAAAAATTTAAAATGTTCAAGTTTCTGAGTTTTTCCTTTGTATTAACCTAACTACCTATCTGTATGCCAAATTTGAACTTTCTAGGTCATCTGGAACTGGGTTAGAATTTTGATCTATAGGTCAGTCAGTCAGTCAGTAATAAAAATGACGATTTTGGGACGTTAATATCTAAATAACAGTTTGAGGTGTGTTTATGAAATTTGGAGCACATATGTATCTTGTAAATCAGAATATATGATCCAAATTTGACATGTTTATGTGGAATATATTTTGAGTTATGAGAGGGTCAAAAGTGGCTCCAAATGGTTCGTATAATATTACACATGGTGCTGCTCGCCAGTTTTGTTAGCTAGAACTTGGCTTGACATGCTACCGCGTGTTTAGGTACAGTTGTATACACAGTGGTATTCGTCGTAACTTTTAATTAGCGAATTCATTAATGGTATCTTCTGCAAAGGTATGTTGCTTAAAAGTTTCAATTCAATCACAAACAAACTCAATGAATTTAGTTCATCTTCTACTAAGCTGGATCATAAATAATTTTTTTAATATTATATTTCATACCATACTATTTTTTTTTTTTTTTTATATATCTATAAACTATCTTATTTCTTATTTTTCTTTTAGTAAAATTCGCTAATAAAATATTACAATTTGTGCACGAGAAAATACTTAAATGGCTATATATTAAATACTTAAGTATTAGAAACTTGCAGTCCCTAAAAAATTGCCACTGTAAGGACGTGCTATAATGTTTACTGATTTACTGAGAAAAAAGTGACAGCCATGATTTGTGAATATTTTAAATATTTTAAATAACTGTAACTATAAATGGAATAGTTATTCGTAGTGGCTCAATGGGATATCTAATTTCGTCCAAATTTGAGCTTAAAATATACATATATAACAAAAAACTGTGTTTACATATTTTTTTTAGATTTTATGGTTACAATATGAACCAGCTACTTATCAGAAACCTTGTTATACATGTTAAATTCTTAGTTATAAAAATTTTCAATTTGATACATTTTTAACTACAAAATAATTTACCAAAACATCAGGTTGTCGTGTACACAAACACACAAAAAAAAGAAATCATTGAAAACCCAATAAGTCTATCACTCTTCAGTCCTTACAGAATCTCAAATATATTAAATAAATACTAAATTATATAAGTTTTTGCTGATATACTGTAATATAATTAACTTTAAAACTTATTTATTTAATTAATGAAATAATCAATTTAAATGATAAAAAAAAAAAATTACATTCACAAAAATGTAAAGAATAAATCACATTTCATCATAAATCATACAAAAATAAGTTCATATTGCAACCACAACAGTGAAATCATTCTGTATGCTGATAAGTACTAATGTGGTGGTCTATCAACGACTACCCCACCATAAATTTGTACTCCAAGGCTTGGCAATGTCTCCATGATCCAAGTATTGGTGATTGGGTTGTAAATTTCTACAGTATTTATAGTGGATGGTTCCACTTCTCCGCCAATCACATACAACAAGCCATCTAATGCGACTACTCCTATATAAAAATGTAATTTAAATCCAATATATTTTTAATGTTGATACTAAAAAAAAATAATAATTTTAGTCACCAGGCCTCATTCGGCATATTTCCATATCAGCTATAGAAGACCAAACTCCATCACTTGGTCTATAAACCTCAACACTTTTAAGATACTTTCCACCATAGCCACCAATAGCATACATAATACCGTCCAAGACTCCTACACCAACACCATGACGATTTACAGACATTGATGCAATTGAAGTCCATGTGTCAAGACCAGGATCATAACATTCTACAGAGTTAAACCTTAATGTACCATTCCGACCTCCTACCTGTAATTTAACTAAATCAATTACAAATTAAAATTAAAAATAAAGAAAATATAATTATTTACCGCATATAAACGATTATTGAGTACACCAACACCCAAATTAAATCTAGCAATTTTCATACTAGATACCATTCGCCATTTTTGAATACCGACATCAAATACCTCTACGCTATTTAAAGGAGTGCAACCGTCAATTCCGCCAACCTAGAATTACAAAATCATATATATTTATAATACAACATAAGTAAAATATTGATTTAACTTACTGCATATATACAATTATCCAATACACCGACTCCTAATCGAAATCGACTAACTAACATGTTGACCATGGGAACCCAAGAGAGGGGTTGTGAAGATACATCAAGCCTACTAACAGATTTAGAACTTGATTGATCAACACCTCCCACAGCAAACACAAATTGATCATTTATCACACCAAAACCAGCATACTTCCGACATTCATTTATTCCTGGTACATTCTTTCGTAGTTTGGTTGATGGATCATACCATTCTGTATAACACTTTGGCAATGTATTAGATTGATTGAACATAAGAATAACCTGAAAGAATTAAATGAACAAAATAATTGTGAAGATAAATTAATGAACGGAATCATACTTTTTGAGAACCACCAAACTGTCTAGGTTTACAGCGAATGGTTTTTGGAATGGTGAAATGCTGAACTGATTTCTGTAGATTAAAATGTATTGCTTCAAATACATAATCTTTACCTAAAAAGTAAAAAAATTATAAAAATAATTAATAAAGTATATAAATTCATAATGATGGCATATTTATGAAAATAACATACATTTGGAACCATAAATATTTAGAAGAGGTTCTTCAGATATATTTAATAATATATCAGGCTTTAATAACGGCAAACGTACATGTTCCATTAATTCCGGCAAAAAATCTTTTCTCTCCTCCAAATCATATTTTACCCATTTAATAACACATTCAAATACCTACAATAACAAATATTTAAAACTTAGTTAAAATATAATACATTTGTTGACAACCCATTAGTGTATTCTCACAGAGTCCTATAAATGAAATAGATATTCAAGACCTTCAGTTTTTTCCTTTAATTGCAAGCAAAGGAACATTTATTGTATTTGTATGGTATTAAATCTATTTTAGATTCTGAGCGGAGCGATGAATGTATTGGTTTTACAATGATGTATGTTTTTATATTTTTATATTTTTATATTTTTATATTTTTATTTATATTTTTGTGTCTGTCATCACGTTTTAGGACAGTAAAAGTGCTTGGATTTTCTTCATCAGTAGCTTTTCTGATAGGAAAGTGAATCTAGTTGGTACTTTGGGGGGTCAAAAGTATAAATTTCCCAGTAGTTTTCACAAGCGCCGGGAAAAAACAACATAAAAATTAAGGAAAAACGGGAATTTTTACGCAAAATCGATTTTCCAAAAAATCGAATTTGGTTTTTGGTGTAACTTTAAAAAAAAATGACCGTAGATACATGAAATTTTCACTGGTTGTTTATAATTGCATTTTCTATACACGATAACATTTTCAAAATATTTTGATTTATTTTGAACTGTTTAGGGACATTTTCATTTTCCATTTTTTTTTAGTTTTTTATCTAAAAACATCAATAAAATTTTATTTGTTGGTTGCGAAAGCTTGAAAATTTAATAGAAGGCTCCTAATATGTTGTTTCAAAGGCAGAAGAAAAATATTAAAAATCCTTAGTCACAATTTTTTTTTATAAGCATTTAAAGTTCAAAAATTCACAAAATATGGAAAAATCACGAAAATTAGCAAATTATTTTGAGTTAAGAATTCGTCAAAATTTTTCTTTTTAAATCTAAGATTTGAAAATGAAACACAAGATTCCTTATAAGATTATCTACCTTTATCAATAAAAAAATCTCTACCGGAATGTCAAATTAAATTTTTATGAGCGTTTGAAATTCAAATTTTTACAACATTGGATGTTCACTCGATTTCTCATGTAGCGATTTCCTTATTTGTTGTAATTCAAAAACGAATAACTGTAGATACATGAAAATTTCACTGAATGTTTATAATATTAGCATTTCCTATACACCATACAATTTTGAAAATATTTTGACTCTTTTTGAGCTGTTTATGGACATTTACAGCTTTCAATTTTTTTTAGTTTTTTTTTCTATAAATATCAATAAAGTTTTATCTGTTGGGCCAAAAAGTGTAAAAATTTAATACAATGCTCCTGATATATTGTTACAATATCAGTTGAAAAATATTAAAAATACATAGGCACAGTTTTTTTTTATAAGCATTTAAAGATCAAATTTTGACAAAATTTATCAAAATCTCGAAAATAATCAATCATTGTAATTAATAAATTATAAAATGTTCAGTTTTTATAGCTAAGGATTGCAAATTCAACACAAAGGTTCTCGTAAATAGTTCATACTGTAACCAAAAAATCTAAAAAATATATGAACACAGTTATTTTTTACAGACATTTTAAATTCAAATTTGGACGAAATTACATATTAAAAAACCTAGAATAACTATTTTAGTTATTTTGTTGTGATTGAATAATATTATTCGTGGATACTTGAAACTTCTAAAGTGTACTATTATATATCTATGATAGTATCACGGTTTTTGTTGATGTATAACGCGTTATAAGTACCTAATGGATATTTTGATATGATTAATTTGGAATTTATTATATGTACCCATTATAGGTCAATTTTTTGTTTAATACCATAGATATGTACATAATATGTCTTATACATAGACTGACATACCGTCTCCGCTCAGAATCGTTTTTCTTATACAATGATATTATATCGTTGAATTCAAATTTAATATCATCCATTATACAGTGACCCACTTGTAACCTACTGTACAGCAGAGCGACACCCACTTGCCCACCTTTTTATTAGTTTCAATGCTTTGATAACTTTTTAATATATTTTATAATTGTTAAAATTATATTCGTGCTTTTAATATATATTATTTGTTATTTATAAATACACACAATATAGAAACAGAAGGTTCGTGTTCTGCATCTGCAAAAGGTTGGGAATTTCTGCTCTAGACACCTACTGTATAACAAAGTGATACTTGACCATCTTTTTTAAGTTGATTTTCCATCCAAAATGTTAAAATACAAATTACCAATTGAAGTTAGCTTACTTTTTCTTCGGATGGAACAGCAAGGTCATTGCAGGAAATAAGCTTCACCAAATCTTCAAAAGATAAAGATAGGAATTCATCACCTTTAATCACTTTGCTGAAAATAATAATTATTATTTTTACAATTAGTTACTGACTGATAGAATTAAGTTGTTTTTCATACAGAAAGTGTTGTTTAATGTAACCTTCGGAATTCGAAAACAATTCTGTACAGTCATGTAAGTCAGCAAACGTTCTGATTCCAAGACAATTCGAAGGATCTAGTTGTTTTTGTAAAAAATCAACACATGCACCATTTACAAAATCTAACTGTAAGACATTTGCAGCAGGCAACAACCCCTTAAACATCAACAATTATTTACATACAATATATTATATTGTTTGAAGTCTATATCAAATCAAATATTTGATTATACCTGTACATTTTCTTTGGTGATCATAATTTCTCCAGTATAAATATAATCTACCAATTGTTCTAAAATGGTGGAATCTAATTCTCTTATATTAACAAGATCTTTATTGCTCTCATCAAAATTACTAAACATTGCGCGGAAGTATGGACTAGCGGCTATTAAAATATTTTTATGTCCAATTACAATTTTACCATCATCTGCTTTAAATCTAATATCACATAAAACTTCATTTCTAAAAAAAAAAAAAATGTGTTACTAATATTTATTTTGAATGAATGTAAATTAACTGTCAACATACTTGCGTAGAGATTGTAAGTCTTCTAATATTCTAATAGAGTGAAAGTTATTTCTAAAATTTGTTGGTTCACATTTTTCGGATGTCAGCACTTGCTTTGGATCACTTTCATAACATTTAGTCTTTAAGGCATCCATTTCTTTTATTAACACACCTTAAAAAATATTTTAAAAATTGTATTTAATTTTAATATCATCATTGTGTTAGAACTTAATACTAAATTTAAGTACCTATAGGTAGATGGGCTAAAAACTATCATAATACAGATGATAATATATTATTTAACTAATTAGATAGATTTATTAAATATAAATAATTGTTAAAATAAATAATATTGAATTAATGATGTTCAATAGATAGAAAATTATTGTATGCAGCCAGTAGTGGTGGTTTTGGGGATTTCTCTGATCGCCAATAGCACATATTTTGATAGTAATTTTCAACATATTTATAATTTTATTTGAGTAAAAATTCTTCTTTATGAAGTTTAATAATATGAATTATGAATAATCATTTATTACATTGTATATCATTTTGTGTTTATCACCAAAAATAGCAATAAACCGATAAGAAATGCTCTAAATAATTATTACATAAACAAACGCTGGTATTCCAGCCGGCGGCAATGTTCCGATGACGTCAGATAAGCACCATCTAACGTCGCCTCTGAGTTAGTACTTGTGTACATAAATTACACACACAAGCATAATATGTTCATGACTGTTAAATAAGTAGAATTGCGCATGCACAATGATAGCCGATTTTCAACGCCTATGTTTATTTAAAATAGATGCAGTATACTGGTATTATAGTTACAGCCAGGACAACCCTAATCAAACCATTGTAATATTTATTTATATTTCTGTCTTGTTCGAAATGTCGCTTGTGTTGGTTCATTTAAATTTTTATACACGTGCTGCCGTGCTTTTATTAAATTCCATTTATTGTGAAGTCTACATTTTGGTTTGGTGGAGAGGGGGTTGATTCATAAGTTGCCTCACCAAAAATATACTACCAAAACGCGCAAGCCAGAGGTGCCATTTCAGTTTTTTCATTTTTGACACTAACATTTTAAAGATTCTTTTAAAATAATTACTACCCACTCTATTTAGTTAAGATATCTTTTATTAGTTATGTACACATTTGCATTCACCTGCAAGAATTTATTCAAATAATAAAAAAAAAAATTATATTATATTATAGTTTAAATGATTCTAATTGATTATCCTATTGATTCTATATTAGATGTATAATACTTAATATGCCTCAAAGACGAAATAACTGGGGAGTGGAGACGAAGAAAGAACATAGAGCTGGAAATACTGTATGGTAGTGCGGACATATTGGAGGTCCACGCTTGGAGGAGACGATATCCACTTTTACATGCAGTGATTGAACAAAACCCTGTAGGTAAAAGGCCTCTGGGAAGACCAAGAATGCGATGGGAAGATGTTGTAAAGAAGAACGTTGAGCAGTTGGGAGGTTGTTCCAATTGGAGAAATCTAGCATTGGATAGAGAAGGATGGAAGCTTGGTTGTGAGACGGGATGGTCTTAAAGGCCCAATAAACCCAAAAAAAAAAAAATACTTAATATTGGCGCTTTCATTATATTTTTAGCAGAACAAATTTGTTTTTCAATAAATTCCTAAGTATTGAATGCCTTTCCCAAAAAATCTACAACAACTTTATGGAACATTTATTCGTAACTTCACATTATGATCACAACATTGTTAAAGAAGAGGTATGTATATTTTGATTGGTAGTAAAATATTAGTGAATTAAAATAAGGATATAGGTAGGTCTATTTTCTTACTTATTTATTGTAGTTGAATTCAAATCAGTGCAGTACCCGATAATACTGGATGTCTAGACAATAAATATATTGAAATATTTAATTATATAATGTTGGTAGGGATGACCGGGGTAAGCTGAAGTCAGAAGTTGTGAGGTGTGAATGTAAGATGGGAATTGTAAGCAAGTTCTAATCAGTTGATATAATATCTTAGTTGTTCTACCCATAGGCGTGCGCACGGGGGCAGCAGAGGCAGCATATGCTGCCCCTGGACTTTCTTTGGGGCCACCGGGGCCGGCAAATATTAAATAGTGGGCCTCGGTAAAATTATATTTCCACAAAAATTTTTTTTTGTTTTGATAAACTATAGATGAATATTTTATATAGGCTTGTAGAAAAGTACACCTTTAGTGGCTTAGTACCTTACTATACAACCTTTTATCCAAAAAAACAAATAACCAATACAATTTTAATTTTGATATCCAATAGTAAAAAAAGTAAAACTATGGGCTGGTTTTAATGGTGAATTTGAAAAATGGGCCGAATTAATCTCTTGCTGCCCCTGAAACCGGAGGCTGCGCACGCCTATGGTTCTACCACGCATGTAGGTACTATAATATGTTGGTCATATTTTTTTGTTTTTATTATAAACGATAATAATATTATATTACAATAACACTAACACCACGAAGACTAGAGACTACAATATATTATTCTAGCATTAATTAAAGAAATATTTTTTATGAATTTTGATACACATGGTTGACTTTATAATATTATAATTCCTGCTTTATAATACTCGTTGTTTGACTTTCTGGGGAAAACTGGTAGAGCAGGACTCATTAATAGCTGGTCAGGAATTCACAAGAATTGAACACTAATTTTTGGCGTGATAAAAGTTTACGAAATTCAGGTTGGGGTAACAAATATTCGTCAACAAACTAACAAGTAATAACCAAATCAAGAACTTCATAAATCCACATACAGGAGTGAGGAGCTCAAACACAAACAATTGAGTGTTTATGGTCTATGGAGACACGTTAAAGTATAAGATGTAGTGTAAGGACACTTGGAGCAATTTATTACAGGAAGAATGGAGGCTTTCAGCATGATCGCAACCTGGGAAATTTGTCTGGTGAGGGGCTAGAATCATATCAGCAGCACAGACCCTAATAATTTATATTTCAAACCAAGACACGATTAAAAACTGGGGCCCGTCCCCGATCACGACGACTACCTACGGCGTTCGGTCAATCCGACCGATGTCTATGAATGTTTTTTGAGAGACATAAAAGGCACATTTGTACGGAACAAATTTTTTACGAAGATACCACGTTAGTGCCTACCTACGTTCAGTATTTATTGATGGCATTCGAAAAGTCACACGTGTACCCGAATCGGGCACCAAACTACCAACTATAAAAAAATCATTTCCATGTTTTCTATTTTGACAAAATTCTTACTTTGGCCGTCCAGGTGGTGCACAGTAGAATATGGCGGCTGGTATCAGGCGAGTGACAACTCTACAGCGAGACGCTGACACCTGTAAGAGTCGACGAGTCGCGACGACTATGAAATTAACTATTGCGGCGATATGCCTTCGATGGCGTCCCGGCGTACGGTTGTAAAGGTAAAAAAAAAATTTAACAATTTAACGTTACCTACATTCGAATAGGTATAAAATTAATCCGAAAAAACACTACACAGTCCGTTTGTCGGCGTGTGTAAAAATAAATATTATGCGTGGGTTATTTTCGGCGTTCTTCGCACACTGAACAGACGACGTGTACAATATTATTATTAATATTAATAATAATTATCAAACGAACTTCGTACGGTAGGCGCGTCGCGACCATAGAGTTGTGTAATCATAGAGTTGATATTTATTACTAGCACAGTAGCACGGACTAAAGATAATAATATTATACGGACAGATAATAATATTATACAGGACTGGAAACGAATGAGCTGGCGGAGTGCGGGGTGAATGTACAACGGTTCCTTTCTGACGCCTGACAACTGCGACCGCTCTGCCATCTATTGGCAACTATTATAAGCCTATAAAATATAATCCCTATGTTACTGTATGAAATAATCAGTAGCGGCTCGTGAGTAAATATGAGACTTAAATTATATAACATAAATTCCATATTCCTTTTCCCCTCTAAATATTACGCAAGTAAAACAAAACACTTTATTCCGTTTATCACAACCAGTAAGCCATGGGAATTTATTATACTAATTCTTTTGAAAAGTTCTAATATATTTACCGTCTTGACATGTTAATAAAAAATGAGGAGTTGAGTGATTAAGTTTTATTTGATTTTTTCGTTCATATGTTAAGGCATTAAAAGTTAAAACCACTGGTTAGTAAAATTTCTATTATATTTTCTTTTTGCATTTTAAAATACGAAAAAATCATAAATATAATAATTATAAAAATATAAAACATAATAATAAATGTTTGATTGTTAGATGGATAATATACGTATAATAATTATTAAATAATTAATAAACAGTGAATAAAACGTCTAAAGCTAGTTAAATACGGGTATACACGGCGCAGTGGCACGGCAATAACTGTCATGAACCCAGGTTTAAAAGCGTCTATGATACGCAGCCAGTGCCGGATAAACCGTCGGTGCAAGCGATCTAAAGGGCCCAAGAGGCAAATTATTCAAAGGGCCTCTCAAAAATGCCAAACCTCAAAAAAATATTTAAAAAAAAATTTATAGATATTTATCACAAAATATGGATTGATATATATATATATAATATATAGTAATATAATATCGATAAGACATCAGTACATCACAGTACATATTTCAACATAATTATAGATTCTAAAATTATCATATAATTTTATTATTACCGCGGACTGAGATAATATTATGATTTTAGTATTATTAAAATAATAAAATTTATAATATTATATTATTA